TCCTCGGAAGGAAGGTTGGGCAATCCTACTTCTGTAGTGATACTGCCTCGGAAACCCAAGGAGGGGTCGCTATGAGTCAGGTATGACTCGAGGGCACATAACAACAACAACAACAACAATAGGATGTGAACAGATGTGACATCTATCAATTCTGGGCTGAGGCTTTTAGAACATGAGTGAGGAATCTTTCTCTTCTTCCTCTTTCCACTGGCCTGAAGCAGAGAAGTGAAAAGCCCTAGGGCAACCTTCCTCAAAAGGTTCTCCAAGAGAATTAAGCCCTAATGCCCTAGAACAAGGAACTCTGGTCGTTCAGTGGTTAAAGCATTCAGCTGCTAACCAAAGGGTTGGTGGTTTGAACCTACCAGCTGCTCCCTGGGAGAAAATCATAAATATTTACAACCTTAGAATCCCTATGGGGCAGTTCTACTCTGTCATATACAGTTGCTATGGATCAGAATTGACTCGAAAGCAGTGAGTTTTGTTTAATTTGCTACCAAACTAATTAATCATATGTGTACCACAACATTACTTTTCATACTTTTGGATCATCAAAATCACCTGCAAATCTTGTTAAACTACTGATTGTTGGGTCCTGGTTCCAGAGTTTCAGATTCAGTAGGTCTTGCATTGTTGCTGGGAGCTCTGGTGGCATAGTGCTTAAGGTATTTGACTACTAACCAGAAGGCCGGTGGTTCAAACCCACCAGCCACTCCCTGGAAGGAAGGTTGGGCAATCTACTTCCACAGTAATACTGCCTCAGAAATCCAAGGAGGAGTCACTATGAGTCGGTTCCAACTCCATGGTTGTGTTGTGTTTGCATTGTTGTTGATTTTGACTCATAGCAACCCCATGTGACAGAGTAGAACTGTCCCATAGGGTTTTCTTGGCTACATTCTGTATGGGAGCAGATTGCTAGGTCTTTCTCCTACAGAACCACTGGGTTTGAACCAACCGACTCTTCAGTTAGCAGCCCAGCACTTAACCATTGTGCCCCCAGTGTTCCTTATAGGTCTTAAGCAGGACCCGACAGTTTGCATTACTAACAATTTTCACACAGCTGATCCTGATTGTGCAGGGCCAAAGCCCAAGGCATCTATTGTACCTAGCTAAGCATCTAGAATGGACTAAGTATGTATCATCCTTGGAAAAATTAAGAAAATAGAAGTTTACATCATTTATTAGATAGCTTGATTCTTTTGAGGAACCCCAGCTGAGGAAGGCTGCCAAGAGAATGGCAGAGCCACTAGATAGAAAGAACCTGGATTCATGATGTATCATATGCAGAAAAGCTGCCTAACCAGGAAAAGATACACTGGACTGCCATTTGAGTGAGAAAAACACTCCTATTGTTTTAAGCCACTGACATTCTGAATTTATTTTTCAGAACGACTAGCATTACCAAATACAGCAGCACTACTCTCAAAAATTATACTATTGCCTACTGAAGGTAAATTGCACAGTTTTTATATAGCTTTAAATTCCTAGGCTTATGTTGTGAGAAGTACAAATAAATATACTGATGTGGATTTATTTACTTAAAAGAAATAAATTAATAGACATTGCATTTCTAGACTAAAGAACCAGAATAGAAAAAACCAACAACTACACATCCTTTAAATAGATATTAAGTAAATGGGAATGATATAAACCTAACCTAATAACTAGGATGTTTTATACAAATGTTTTGCTTTTTAATGCTAATCATTTTATATAAAAACATCACAGTCATGAAAACTATTTTAGCTGCTACTCTGTGCCAGTCTTTGTGCCAGTTACTGAAGTCTCATAGATGAAAATAATACTCTCTAAGCATTCACAAGGAGCCTTGGTGGCACAGTGGTTAAGTATGTGTTGTGAACCAAAAGGTTGGTGGTTCAAACCCACCCAATGGCTCCATGGGAGAAAGACCTGGGGATCTGCTTTCATAATTATTGCAGCCAAGAAAACCCTATTGGGGCAGTTCTACTCTGTCACATGAAGTCGCTATGAGCTGGAATTGACTCCATAGCACACAACAATAGCAACAAGCATTCACAGCCTTGTGGAGGAAACAGACATGTAAGTAAATTACAGCTGTATGTTTATGAAATAGTACTAGGTTGAACAAGAAACATTACAAAAATAGTTTACCTAAAGAGATCAGTAGGTTAACCAAAAAAGCTAACATAGAGGTTGGTCTTGAAACATGGTGAGAGATTGTTTTAAAAGGTAAAAATTGGGTGGCAGGGGAAGAGAGGGCATTACAGATACCTAACAACAACAACTTTTATAGTCATAAAAAAGCAATAGAACTATTTCTACTTTATTAAAAACCTCCCTTCCTAATTATTTGGGGGTCCCTGGGTGGCACAAACAGTTAACTATCATTTATGGAGCTCTGGTAGCATAGTGGCTAAGATACTTGCCTGCTAACCAGAAGGCTGGCGGTTCAAACCCACCAGGCACTCCTTGGAAGGAAGGTTGGGCAATCCTACTTCCGTAGTGATACTGCCTCGGAAACCCAAGGAGGGGTCACTATGAGTCGGGGCCGACTCGACGGTACATAACAACAACAACATGGTCTTGATATGATCTCAGACCACTCATCTGTCAGTTTGTTGTACTGTGGTAGCTTGTGTGCATTGCTGTGATGCTGGAAGCTTTGCCACTGGTATTTCAAATGCCAGTAGGGTCACCCATGGTGGACAGGTGTCAGTGGAGCTTCCAGACTAAGACTGACTAGGAAGACAGGCACGGCAGTCCACGTCTCAAAAAACTGACCACCGAAAACCTTATGACTAGTGGTAAAACACAGTCTGATATAGTACCAGAAAACCTTATGAATAGCAGTGAAATACTGTCTGATACAATGCCAAAGATGAGCCTTCCATGTTGGAAGGCACTCAAAATATGACTGGGGAAGAGCTGCCTCCACAAAGCAGAGTCCATCTTAATGATATAGATAGAGTAAACTTCTGGGACTTTCATTTGCTGATGGAGCATCACTCAAAATGAGAAGAAACAGCTGCAAACATCTATTAATAACTGGAATGTGGAACATACAAAGTATGAATCCAGGAACATTGGAGGTTGTCAAAAATGAAATGGAAAGCATAAAGAGATACCCTAGGTATGAGTGAGCTGAAATGGACTGCTATTGGCCATTCTGAATCCGACAATCATATGGTTTACTATGCTGAGACTAACTAATTGAAGATGAATGGTGCTGCATTCATCTTCAAAAAGAAAATTTCAAGATCTATCCTGAAGTATACTGTGGTCAGTGATAGGATAATATTCATATGTTTACAAGGAAGACCAGTTAATACAATTATTCAAATTCACATAACAACCACTAAAACCAAAGATGAAGAAATTAATTTTTTTAACCAAATTATGCAGTGTGAAATAGACCAACCATGGAATCAAGGTGCACTGAAAATTACCCTTGATTGGAATGTGAA